CAGGCATGTAGCGGGGGGGGGGGGGGGGCTTCAGCCCCCCCCTGAAATTCTCATGGTGGTCCGCGAGAAGGCCTTACTGGTACATTATTTAAACTGTTATGTTTATTCATATCATGATCTGATCACCATGCTCAATATATCCCATATGCATGGGGGTATTGGGGTAACGATACAAAAGGTTTGCTAGGGTAGACCCTCTTTCACTCAGACTCGCCCCCCCCCCTCGAACTAAACTCAGCGCCCCCCCCCCCAAACAAAATCCTGGCTGCGGGCCTGACCAGGGACCATTCTCCAAAAGGGTTACGAATCAATTCTTGGTCAACTTTAGATTCGGTTTGGGGTGCTGATTCAAAAATTGCATTGGATAGACCATATCAGCTCTAGTTTCTGATACAGAATGTATGCCATGGTCAGCAACAGGGAAGGAGTGGCAGGCGGCACGAAAGGAGTGGTAAGAAAATAAATTAAATAAATTAAATAAATAGATAAAGAGGAAGGAGGCTCATGGACCAGATGTTCATCCTTACAGCCCACAGGTTAAGAACCACAGGTTTAGATGTACCCATTGCCAACCATATCCACGAGCCTTTCTTCCGGGGCTTAATTTTCACCTTGAACCTGTTTTTTAAAGACTTAATCCTCTAAATTGCACATGAAGCAATAAAACAGGTTTCAGAGGGGGAAGTTGTGCTGGTCAGTTCAATCAATAAAGGAAAAATAAAATGTCTTAATGATTAAATATTTTAGAACGTATTTTTTGTAGGTTAGAGCACACTCAATTAAATAGATGAAATGTTAACTTCAATTGACCATATAAATGTATATCAGTAGGTTCTTGTGGGTTTTTTCGGGCTATAGGGCCATGTTCTAGAGGCATTTCTCCTGACGTTTCGCCTGCATCTATGGCAAGCATCCTCAGAGGTAGTGAGGTCTGTTGGAATAGGACAATGGGTTTATATATCTGTGGAATGGCTGGGGTGGGGCAAAGAGCTCTTCTCTGCTAGAGCTAGGTGTGACTGTTTCAACTGACCACCTTCATTCGCATTTGAAGGCCTGGTTGAGCCTGGGAAAATCTTTTGTTGAGAGGTGTTAAGATGTGCCTGGTTGTTTCCTCTCTGCTGTTTTGCTGTTGTAATTTTAGAGTTTTTTTTTAATACTGGTAGCCAGATTTTGTTCATTTTCATGGTCTCTTCCTTTCTGTTGAAATTGTCCACATGCTTGTGGATTTCAATGGCTTCTCTGTGTAGTCTGACATGGTGGTTGTGAGAGTGGTCCAGCACTTCTGTGTTCTCAAATAATATGCTGTGTCCAGGTTGGTTCATCAGGTGCTCTGCTATGGCTGACTTCTCTGGTTGAAGTAGTCTGCAGTGCCTTTCATGTTCCTTGATGCGTGTTTGGGCCTGCGTTTGGTGGTCCCTATGTAGACTTGTCCACAGCTGCATGGTATACGGTAGACTCGAGAGGATCCCTCTTGTCCTTTGCTGAACGTAGCATTTGTTGGATTTTCTTGGTGGGTTTGTAGATTGTTTGTATATTGTGTTTCCTCATCAGTTTCCCTATGCGGTCAGTGGTTCCCTTGATGTATGGCAGAAACACTTTTCCTCTGGGCGGATCTTCATCTTTACTCTCGTGGCTTGCCCGACCCTGGTCATTCCACAGATATATAAATCCATTGTCCTAATTCCAACAAACCTCACTACCTCTGAGGATGCTTGCCATAAATGCAGGCGAAACGTCAGGAGAAATGCCTCTAGAACATGGCCCTATAGCCCGAAAAAACCCACAAGAACCTAGTGATTCCAGCCATGAAAGCCTTCGACAATACAATGTATATCAGTGTTTCTCAACCAGGGGGTTGGGACTCCTGGTGGGGGTCGCAAAGGGGACACCAAAATCCATAGATGCTGAAGTCCCACTGATGCTGGAAATTTGATGATTTTCAAAGCCACGTGGATACCGAGGGATGCCTGGCAAGCTTCACTAACTGCAGATGTTTCAGAATGGAAATCAAGAATCTCACCAGGTTGAAGGCAAAAGGCAGAGGTGTTTATTCATTCTGTGCAGAAGGGACACTTGTATAGCAGCGGGTACTCAAGGGGTATAAGCGCAAAGCACAATCATAAAGCGGGCATTTTTATACACCAGAGTTTTCATGCATTACCATTGCTACATATTGAACCTCCCTCCCTTCTCCCTGAATGGCCAGCACAAAGAAACCAGCCCCTGATTGGTTTAGAGGCAGGCCTTAGTCAGTGTGCACCCTGATTGGTGGAGATGGTGATGATGTGGCTGGGGATCTCCTCCTAGCTGGGCAGGGAGGCTCTGGGGCTTCCAATGAGCTAGCAGAGGTGGTCTCCAGGGACTGCGTCAACCTCTGGATGTGTAGCAAGGGAATGCTGGGGACAAAGAAAACCCAAAAAGATGATTGATAGGATTATGCAGATTCTGGGTCCTAGCTGCAAAGACAATGAGCATTGTATCTCCAGACAACTTCCCATGCTGGGAAGACAAAGGAAGGGTCCCAAAGATGTCTATTGGTGATGGGACTGCAATCAAAGTTTCTTCCTAGACTTTTATCCCATGGGTAGCAAAAAGGGATTACCCCAAAGGGGAAGTTTTAGGTGGTGGGCAGATGGCCTCCCGCTGGTATGCAGGAAGGTTCTTTGTTCCCCAGATTATGTCCCACCTCTGGTTCCCACACAGAGTGTGGAAGGAGTATCTGGAATTGCTCAAGAGGTTGCTCAAGAGGTTATTGCAGTTCATGAGTTCATGTACATTGAGCCCTGACAGCAAGTCAAAACTGCATTGATTCTAGAATAATTGCTATGGAATCATGGAAGCTATAGTTTGACCAGGGGCCCATCCACACAGCCACATAACCCAGAATATCAAGGCAGATAATCCACAATATCTGCTTTGAACTGGGTTATCTGAGGCCCCTTCCACATCGCTGAATAAAACCCCACATTATTTGCTTTGAACTGGAATATATGACAGTGTGGACTCAAATAACCCAGTTCAAAGCAAATATTGTGACATTTTCTGCCTTGATATTCTGGGTTATATGGCTGGGCAGAAGGGCGCCAAGTCCACACTGCCATATAATCCAGTTCAAAGCAGGTAACGTGGGATTTTATTCAGCTGTATGGAAGGAGCCCTTCCATGCAGACATATAATCCAGAATATCAAGGCAGATGATCCACAATATATGCTATGAAATGGCTTATCTGAGTCCACACTGCCATATAGTCCAAAGTAGATTTTATACAGCTTTCATTCCACAACACTGAGCCTTGGCAGCTCAAGTGGGACAAAACAGAGCAGATAAGGGGCCCTTTCACACAGCCATATAAATATATATTCTCATCTCAGGAGCAACTTGAGAAACTGCAAGTCACTTCTAGTGTGAGAGAATTGGCTGTATGCAAGGATGTTGCCCAGTGATTCCTGGTTGTTTTGATGTTTACCATCCTTGTGGGAGGCATTTATAGATAGATAGATAGATAGATAGATAGATAGATAGATAAGCCATCCCCTGCCACGTGTTGCTGTGGCCCTGTCTAGGTATATGTGTTTTGTGTGTATATGTGCATATATGTGCGTTTGTGTTTATATATGTGGTTTTGCACATGCGTTATAATGTATTTTTCATTTTTTTGCTTTTTAAGTCTCTTCTGCTCTGTTTTTCAGTGTTTTTATGAGTGATGGTCATTTGCTGGTCTGATAAGTGTCTTGTGTCCAAATTTGGTGTCAGTTCGTCCAGTTGTTATGTTAATCCCACAAACGAACATTACATTTTTATTTATATAGACTAGCCATCCCTGCCATGCGTTGCTGCAGCCCAGTCTGTATATATGTGTTTTGTGTGTGTATATATTTGTGTATATATGTGGTTTTGCGCATGCGTTGTAATACATTTTTTGTTTTTGGCTTTTTATGTCCCTTCTGTTGTGTTTTTCAGTGTTTTTATGAGTGATGGTCGCTCGTTGGCCTGATAGGTGTATTGTGTCCAAATTTGGTGTCAATTCGTCCAGTGGTTTTGGGGTTATATTAATCCCTCAAGCAAACATTGCATTGGGTTGTTGTAGGTTTTGTTGGGGAAAGTGGAAGGTAAAAGGAAGAGGGGCCGACCAAGGGCAAGATGGATGGATGGCATCCTTGAAGTGACTGGACTGACCTTGAAGGAGCTGGGGGTGGTGACCGCCGACAGGGAGCTCTGGCATGGGCTGGTCCATGAGGTCACGAAGAGTCGGAGACGACTGAACGAATGAACAACAACAACAAAGGTTTTTCTGGGCTATATGGCCATGTTCTAGAGGCATTTTCTCCCGACGTTTCGCCTGCATCTATGGCAAGCATCCTCAGAGGTAGTGAGGTTTGTTAGAAGTAGGAAAATGGGTTTATATATCTGTGGAATGACCAGGGTGGGACAGAGGACTTTTGTCTGCTGGAGCTAGGTGTGAATGTTTCAACTGAACACCTTGATTAGCATTTAATGGCTTGGAAGTGCCTGGGGGGAATCTTTTGTTGGGAGTGATTTGATGTGCCTGATTGTTTACTCTCTGTTGTTTTGCTGTTGTAATTTTAGAGTTTTTTAATACTGGTAGCCAGATTTTGTTCATTTTCATGGTTTCATTGCATTGATAGATAAGATAAGATAAGATAAGATAAGATAAGATAAGATAAGATAAGATAAGATAAGATAAGATAAGATAAGATAGTGGAAGGGGCCCAGGTAGACCATTTCTAACCTATCTGCTCTGGACCCAGTAGGGGGCGCTATTGCCTCTCCCCTTTAGGCCCCGCCCCCTCCTCTGCCCTCCCCTCATCCTCGCTTCCCCCTCCCTCCTCCATTCGCGTGGCGCGAGTTCCTGCCCTTGGCGTTGCCTTCTCCTGTCCCCTCCGCCCTCTCACATCCCTATTGGTTGGCGGCCTCGCCGGGGCTGCCTTCCGACGGGTCCTAGCGCCGTCGGATCCACAGCGGGAAAAGACGCTGAGCCGCTGCTTCCTGACTGAAGACTCCCCCCTCCTCCCCCCGTTTCCCTTGCAGTCGCCTTAAATAGGCCGGGCCGGGCGGTCTAGCGGCAGAGAGCTCCGGCTGCGTGGTTGGGGGTGGCCGCTGCTGCAGGAGACGTCGTGACAGTGAAGGCAGGTGGGTGAGGCGTCGTCATCCCCGCCGCCGCCGCGGGCTTTCCCCTCACGTCCTTCGCTTCCTTTTGCCCCGTCCTGTGGAGGGAGAAGGAGACGCCGCGCGCCGGGAAGGCGAAGGCTGACAAAGTAGGGGCCTCCCCGGCCGCCGTAGGCCCGCTTGGAAAGGGGATAGGGGAAGGGGGGGGGAGTAGGGTTAGTCCTGAAGGCCGGCAAACGCTGCAGAGAAAGGCAAGGGCGGGAAGGACCGACGTGGCTTGTTCCTGCGGGACTGCTGTGGAATAATAGGGAGGTGCTCACCCAGGCCAAAGGCACATCCACACTGTCGAATGAATGCAGTTTGACATCCCTTTCAATGACTTGGCTCAATGCTTGTGGAATCATGGGAATTATCAAACCACAGCTCCCATAATTTGATAGCATGGAGCCATAGCAGGGAAAGTGGGACCAAACTGCGTTAATCCCATAGTGTAGATGCACCCCTTACTATAGGGCCTTTCCACACAGCCACATGACCCAGAATATCACAGCAGATGATCAAATTGCTCATGATACAAAATAGATAAAAATAAAATCCACAATATTGGCTTTGAACTGGGTTAGTCCAAACTGCCATATATTCCAGTTTAACGTAGAAAATGTGGGATATTGTTCAGCTGTGTGGAAGAGGTCTTAAGGCCCTTCCACATAGCCCTATTTCCCAGAATATAAAGGCATAAAATAACTGGGTTATCTGAGTCCACACTGCTATATATTCCAGTTTAAAGTAGAAAATGTGGGATATTCAGCTTTGCTGAAAAGGTCTTAAGGGCCCATCCACATAGCCCTATATCACAGAATATCAAGGCAGAAAATCCCACAACATTTGCTTTGAACTGGGTTATCTGAGTCCACACTGCCATATATTCCAGTTTAAAGTAGAAAATGTGGGATATTCAGCTTTCCTGAAAAGGTCTTAAGGCTCTTCCATATAGCCATATAACCTAGAATATCAAGGCAGAAAATCCCACAATATTTGCTTTGAACTGAGTTATTTGAGTCCACACTGCCATATATTCCAGTTCAAAACAGCAAATGTGGGATTTTATACAGCTGTGTAGAAGGGGCTCAGAAAACCTGGCTTACTCATGAATTTTAACTCAGCCCTATATCCCAGAATATCAAAGCAAAAAAAAACCCACAATATCTGCTTTGAACTGGGTTATCTGAGGGCCCTTTCACACAGTCCTATATCCCAGAATATCTGCTTTGAACTGGATTATCTGAATCCATACGCAAATAATGTGGGATTTCCTGCCTTAATAGTCTGTGATATAGGGATGTGTGGAAGGGCCCTCAGATGACTTGAACACTCTTGGGTCACAAGAAATTCGGACAGAATTTCGTGCTTGGTGCCTTGGCCTCTGTATTTTGCTGCATTGCAAAGAATTTGGAACCACAGGCTTCCTCTGTCGTCATCATAACAGCATTCATATTGATGATATCCATCATTATTAGTCCTATTTGCATTACTGGGATTGATCCCAGTTGTATTCTGCTGCACTGAGGCCCCTTCCACACAGCTGTATAAAATCCACACTGAACTAGATTATATGGCAGTGTGGACTCAGATAGTCCAGTTCAAAGCAGATACTGTGAGTTATCTGCCTTGACATTCTGAGTTATATGTCTGTGTGGAAGGGCCCTGAGAATGTAGGGCTTCAATAGCCACTTTGAGTCTCAGTCTAGGGAGACATGCAGCAGGCAAACTCTCGATTAACTGGCATTCATTGGGGTTGTTTATAGATGCTGGATAAATGTACTTTCTGGTTGCTCAAGAAGTACTGTTAAAGATAGGCCTAACCAGTAGTATACCACAGGTATGGGCAAACTTTGGCCCTCCAAGTGTTTTGGACTTCAACTCCCACAATTCCTAATAGCCTTGTGGAAGTTGGCATGCAAAACACTTGGAGGGCCAATATTTGCCCGTGTTTGAATTACTTATAACATAAACTCTGCATTGACTTGAGGTTGATATATATTAACTAAAAGGAAATACAAGGAAACTTAACTTAATGTAACACCATGTTACTGTTATTGTAAGAACAGCTTGGTGAATGCAGTATGCAATTTTAGTTACATGGTAGCCAGTAACCTTTTACCGGTTGCTTGGGTTCCTGCTAACAGAGGCAGGATCTACGCTGCCTTCTCAGGATCTAATATGAGATTATCTTCTTTGAACTGGATTATATGAGGGCCTTCATATATTCCACAATATCAAGGAAGATAATCCACAGTATCTGCTTTGAACTGCGTTATCTTAGTCCACACTGCCATATCATCCAATTCAATGTGGATTTTATACAGCTGTGTGGAATGGGCCTCCATTAACTGGCATCCATTGGGATTGTTGGTAGATGCTGGATAAATGTATTTTCTGGTTGCTTGAGAGTTGCTGTTAAAAGAGCCCTAACCAGTAGTACACCCCATACTATACTATACTATACTATTCTATACTATACTATACTATACTATACTATACTATACTATACTATAACATAAACCGTGCCTTGACTTGAGGTTGATATATAGTAACTAAAAGCAAATACAAGGAAATGTAACTTAATGTAACACAGTGTTACTATTATTATAAAAACAGCTTGATGAATGCAGTGTGCAATTTAGAGCCCTTCCACCCAGATTATTGTGGATTATCAAGGCAGATAATCTACAATATCTGCTTTGAACAGTATTATCTGAGTCCACATTGCCATATAATCCAATTCAATGTGGATTTTATAAAGCTGCATGGAAGGGCCCTTACTTACATGGTAGCCAATAACATTGGGCCAGTTTCTTAGTTTCTGATTAACTGAGGCTGGATCTACATTGCCTTGCATCCCAGGATCTTTTCCCAGATTATCTTCTTTGAACTGGATTATGAGTCTCCTTCCATATAATCTGGAATAAGAATATAATCTGGGATCAGATCCTGGGATATAGGGCAATATAGAAGGGGCCTAAGAGTCTAATGTAATTATTGTGGTGATGACGACTAAGGTGATGACCCTAAAGGCACCAGATCTCCCACATGAATTTGGAAGCCAAGCAGGGTCAGCCCTGGATCATACTTGCATGGGAGGTCACCAGATACTTTAGGATACATTTCAGAGGAAGGAACTCTGCTTAAGACAATACTATGCAACTCATGGGGTCCCCATAAGCCTCCATAGGTGGCCTGCACTGAGAATTCATGTCAGTTTCCCACCCCAAACCTTGGCTTGAGCTCATAAGAAGAGCAGATGGGAAAGACAAGAAGAAACCAACCCGCTTTGCCGCTTCCTTGCTCTGTCAAGGGAGTTGCCTTCCAGGGTGGCTCCTTATCATTTGGGGCTGAACCTCAACTTCCGTGGGTTGAGCAGAACAGCCCTGTGATGATAGGGCTGCCTAGAGGCAAAATTCTCTCCCTGTGAAACTCTTCTCGGCCTGATCAGCATGGCTGAGATGGAGGTGCAATGCTTTCTTATCTTCATAAAGATAGAAGCACTCGAGAAACCCTCCTTTGCCCCAGAGCAGGCCCCAAGCACTTGCCCCTATATCAGCAATGTTGTGATAGGTAGCTAAGCCTATTGCTGCTTTTAGAAATCTTACTTTTTGTGGGGGCGGGGGCGGGGGGGGGGTTGATATTGTGGCTCCATTTAGCCTATCCAAAGATCTTTGTGCCAGAGGCTTTTTAAATCAAAGGGAACCAGATTACATTTGTAAACATATTAGTGAAGTCTGGATTGAGTTATGGTTGTATGGTTCTGCATTCGGTGTTTTATTTATAGCTCTTGTTGTGATCATGTGGAAGCCTAGTTGTCATGGTATGGGAGGTTCTGTGGGATAATTAGTTGAAGAAAATGAGGTGGAAAATAGGCAGTTTTTGCATATGTTGGGAGCTTCTGTATCGATAGGGCCCATGCTTTTAAATTTGATTAGGAATTGAAATAACCATCTCTGCTGAGGAACTGAGGGTATTTAAGATGGTTAAAATGAAAAGGGACCACAATATTTAGAAAAGCTATTTGCAAACTTAGGAAATAGGCATTAAAATATCCAGTGTGGTTCACTATAGATAAGTGTAAAGTATGGGCCCAAATATTCATATGTCATAGCCTCATATTAAAGCAGAACTAGCAGTTAGCAGCCAGGAAAGCAATTTGGGATTTGTGGCTTGATGAAAAAGTCATGCCAGTGTGTCCCCTTCCTTTGGGTGGAAAAGGAAGAAAATGTCATGGTGGGCGAGTATTAGAGAAGGAACTGAAAATAGTGCTGCCAATATCATAATGCCTTAATGCAAATCTTTAACTCTTGGAATATAAAATGTGTTTCTGGCTCCCGTGCTTGAAAAGAGATGCAGGAGAGCTGGAAAAGTTTCAGAAAAGAACACTCAAAATGAGCAAAGGCTGTGAAGAAAGGTTTAGGACCTTCAAGCTAAGTGGGAAAGTCAAGTATGGAGTCATATAGATGTAGTAAAGTATGCATGGTATGGAGAAATTAAATAAGGTTAAATCCTGTCTCATCTGAGGACTAATACATCTGATGGCAGATGTGATATTGTGATATGCAGTTGCCATTAAGTAGTCATCACTGATGGCCTTATCCACCACGAATTTACCTAGTTGCCTATAAAATCATCCTAACTGTTAGGTATCACCATATCTTGCATTTTAATCAGAAATCTTTAAAGAAAAACAAATTCAGTGCTCAGAAAATTTTAGGATAGAGAATAATTATAGGTTTAAGTGATATCAACAACCTGCAGTGGTGTTTAAAGACAAATTAGAACCAAGTATCTTTGAATTACAACTTCGTGTATTCCTATGTTTACAGGAATAAGTAAAGTCCAAAACTAAAATTACCAGATCACTTTTTTAATACTACTTACCAGTTTTAATATGAACAATTCAATCAATATTTTAAAATAGTGATTAGATCACTATTAAGCATCTGAAAGTGGTGTAGCAAACAAAAAACCCACTC